TAATATACATAGAAAACATCCAGACCGATACAAACAATCATACTGATAAATACAAATGTTTCAATGGGGAATTCAACCCGCGACCGTCGGACGTAAAGCGGTGTGCTAAACCGCTAGACCACTGAGGTCGTCAAAAGATTATATGGTATACAAGGAAAGTCACCTCTGATAGGGATCAGTGGAAGAGAATGACATATTGCGCTGACCACAAATAATGGGATAAAGGCAAGGAAATTATTTATGAATGTGGTTTTAAGAGCAGAGGAAGTTCGAAAAAGAGATGAATGGACTGGGTGAAAGATATGACAAGAAAAGGAGTAAATAAATGGAGGATGAATGTAAGATTGATAGATAAATTCTTTATTCACAATTACATACACATAACATACATGAGATACAGAAAAAACACGAATTAATAAAAGAAATGTAGGTGACTTTATGTGCTGCAAAAGGGAAAAGGTAGCCAACTCAGCATAATGCTACAGATAACTCTGCAGCGCTGATATTCTGTTAGCTCCTTACATATACTATACTTATTATTAAAAAAAATTACATATATATTAAACATCGAGCTCTTTATCAAAATATATAAAGTATGAATAAACTGTAAATAATGTGATGAATTATATTATTAAAGTACTGAAGAGAAAAATATATTACGACGACCATAAATAAATGGGATAAGGGTGAAGCAAATGATGTAATATAATGTTTAGAGTGTTCAATCTGCATATCTGCATACAGATGAACAAATTTTAATATATTATTATGTTCATGTCGTTCTAATGTGTCTATAATAATTAAATTAAAATAGCAAATACTTATATAGTTGAAAATTAAATGTATATGTCAGTACGTGAAGCAGAAACTTTGTACCCCTTTTTCCGACAATTGCTCGGACGGAAGTGTATGAAATTTCGCACACTTATAGTTTAGAGCAGTGATTCCCAAAGTGGTCTATGTCGACCCCTAGGGGTCTATGACAAACTGCAAGGGGTCTACGACAGCTGTCATCTTGTTGTTTTTAACACTAAACTTTACTATAGTTAGAAATTTACAAAAAATCAATACCAGGTAAGAATGGGGGGTCTACCATAAACCGAAAAATATGGCAAGGGGTCTACGACACAAAAAAGTTTGGGAACCTCTGGTTTAGAGTGAAAAATGCAATTTTTTTTAAATTATATATTAAAAAAAATCTCTACTCTTTTGCTTATTTTATGTAGGTGTATCCGCGGACATAGCTTGTGTTTAATACATTTCTCCTGTAAATGCTGTTTTTAGGATCCTCCTAACACAATCGGCTCATCCGTCATACTCGTGAACGGGTACTGCTTGTGGAGACTGGTGGTTTCAGGTTACGAACACTGATTAGACTTTTTGCTTTTGCAATAGCATATGCTGGTGGATACACTATTCTCCCAAATTTGAATTTAAATGTATCTGTATTATTGTAAACATGTACAACATTTATTTGAAAAGAAGTTGAGTTTCTTATCAGTTCTTCTCATCTCGAAATCATTCCGAACTGACGCTAGATTTGACATATCATAAGAGTCTGTAATAGATCTACATGAATAAAGATATTTCTGAATTTGAATTTGAACAATCTCAAAAGTGACTATTCATTCGTATGTATAAATATATCTACAATAAGAAAGGGCGCCAAATATTCCAAATATATGACCAATGTTGGTGTCAATAATAACTTAAATTATTACAAGGCCCGTCGTGTTTGCGTAGTTTTGTTCAAATACACGTATTATAGTCATGCAAATGAGAATACTTACGGATTAAGTCGGTCGGTATCATAGACTAAAGTCCGGTTGTAATAGACGCTACAATGTTTACAATATACATATTTGACGGCCTCGGTAGTTTAGTGGGTTAGCACACCGCTTTACGTCCGACGGTCGCGGGTTGAATTCCCCATTGAAACATTTGTATTTATCAGTATGATTGTTTGTATCGGTCTGGATGTTTTCTATGTATATTGATGATTCCTCGCACACAAACATTTATATTCATGTGTATGATTTATTTGTATCGGTCTGGCTGTTTATATGTTTTAACGGAAAATAATATATATCTATGTATTTGTATCAGTTATCTAGTACCCATAACACAAGCTTTAGATAGCTTAGCTTAACTCTACTACGAGTATGTTTGAATTGTCCTGAGATTGTTATTATTATAAAGAAATAAGTTCACTCATAGAGTGAGTTATTTTATTACTCAAGTAACTATTTATTTATTCCATCTACAGTGACTCACAAAAATGCCCCAATGTTTGACCATTTCTCATTCCATCGCCTGTTATGATAAGAGGATACAATTAATAAACCTGAACTGCTAGTATGTGCTAGCCCTGCTTCTTGGCTTTCGAATAAGCCGCCAATGATGAATTACTATTGGCTGGTTATGAACCTATGCCACTGTGAAATATGAAAACTATTGGGGCATTTTTGACCGTTTAGGACAATCTCGCGATATGTGAGATATTCCGTTCGATCTACCTACCCACTGAAGATAAAAACACTCGAATAGCTAACTGGAAATATATCTACTTCCTCCCTCTCTCATCCAATACTTTTCATCCAACTTGCTGATCATGAAGCCTATTTCTCCTGCCCTCAAATCCGAAATTATCAAGCGAATTAACGAAGGCGTATCCACCCGTAGGGTGGCCCAAGAGCTTTCCGTGAGTAAATCTACTGTTGCTAGGATATGAAAGGAACACTGCGCCGCTGTTGCCTCACCCCCAAAAGGGCGCCCAAGGAAGTTATCAGAGTCCAGTGCCCGGTATGTGGTGAGGCTTATCACTTCGGGGGCCATGGATACTGCCGTACAGGTCCAACGACACCTTACCAATGCCATGGACGTCTCCACAAGTGCCGAAACTATACGTCGGACACTGAAGAAGGCCAAGCTTCGATCTGGCAACAAGATCCGCAAGCCGCTTTTAACGAAGCGTCATCGGCAAATACGGCTATCATGGGCTAAGATGTACCGCCATTGGACGGTGGAGGATTGGCGTAGGGTCATCTTCTCTGACGAGACGAAGGTCAATCTTGTGGGCTCTGATGGCCGCAAGTGGTGCTAGAAACGACCAGATAAAACGCTAGAGACCCGCGTCATTGAGTCGACGCTGAAGCATGGCGGAGGAAATATCATGGTATGGGGCTGTATCACTGCCGATGGCCCCGGATATACTACTAGGATCATTGGAAATATGAACTCGAAGCTCTATCAAGGCATCCTTAAAGATGAACTTCTCCAGACCATTGAATGGTATAGCCTTGAAAAGTCACGCGTCATCTTTCAGCACGATAATGACCCAAAGCATACAGCTTTGGCGATCCGAAAATGACTCCGAGACCTGCGTCTAAAGGTTCTGGCATGGCCCCCGCAATCTCCCGACATGAATCCAATCGAGCACATGTGGCAGAAGGTCAAGATTCGTCTTGCAATTGACCCAAGTCGACCGAAAAACAAAGACGAGATGTGGGCTAAGTTTCAGAGAATCTGGAATGAGGTAAGCAAGGAAGATTGCAGTAGACTGATCGACAGTATGCCAGAGAGGGTGCAGGCGCTTCTCCGAGCTCGTGGGGGACATACAAGATACTGAAATGAAGAAACAAAATGAGATGTTGTGAAATTTGATGAAACGGTCAAAAATGCCCCAATGCGTTTTTAACTGTGTAGTCATTGTAATGTCATAACTAGTTTAGTAATAATCATGCAACTTATATTGTTTAATAGCTCAATGGTAGCACTATTACATACTAAAGTATCAGCTGTGTATCTATTCAATTTTTTGAGTTTGACTACTTTTTGTGTCGAGGTACACATCATTGGGGCATTTTTGTGAGTCACTGTATCATACATGTTACAAATTTTGTAAGGAGGACATATCTCTAAAAAAGATCTCTTCCCGTCAACCCAAAACAACGTGACATAGGAAATGGTAAGGTGACAGAAGTGCAAATAATAAAAGTAACAAAAATAACATAAATAATTAAAACTAAATAATTTAAGTCCAATACATTACTCGTATAAAATTTCAAATACAATACACATATGGTTATATAAATCCAAAGATTATAGAAATACATAAGGATCCATACCCCTTTCAGACCCAAGATTTTTTTTCTATCAGATTAAATATATTTTCGTGTTTTATGCTGAAATAACTCTCGTGTTTTACGAAAAAAATAATCAAAAAATTCTGTATCAAACCAGAGTTCTTAAAAGTACATATCACGATCGTGAGTTCTAGGTCTCACTTCTACCTAAGTACGATCGTGACTTCAAAGTTAAAATAAAAATAAATAAAAAACTTCATAGTTATATGGATGGTTTAAGAAGTACTCATTAGCCCGATATATTAGGATTGTTTCAGTATGTATTATTATGCTAGATATTATGTATATTAGGTTTGATTTTGAGTGTAAAAATGTTTATTTACGTAAGTCAGTTTTTATTCTTATATATTCACTTAGCGATAGAAATAAAACTACAAATTAATCACAGAAGTTATACATTTGTTTGTATTTTATAAATCACAGTCCAGTTATAATAAACTTAATATTAATCTTCAGAACAAAAACATTCAAATATTCTTTTACAAATCAGTACAGTACTTAATGTCTATTTTAGCTTATATTTTACTTAAAATCTATTAAACAAAAACAAAACGTCCTTTAGACAAAAAAACAAAACAAGATAAATCTTTTACAACTAATTTTTTTCAGTCTTAAAATCAGGAACTTAATATTTTTTTATCACATAGTAGTTATAGGTCTTATTTATTATGGTAAAGGTAAAAACAGTCTTTGTCGCGACTAAGGCACAAGTAAACATTGCATTTGCGGCATCTTATTTTAGAACGAGAGGAACAACTCTGCAATCGACATTTACGTGGAGCTTTTATATCATCAAATACAGGCAAGTGATCATAGCCATCATATCTCATTCCGATCGAGGGATCGTTTGCAGGTCTATATCTGCTTGACTTGTATTTCGACTAAAGGAGTTGATTGGAGACGGTCTCTATCAGGGGTGTTCATAAAAGTTTCAGCTATTTCAAACCTGAATGCAAGTAAATCCTGAATACGATTTTTTGGAATACCTTTGGCTAAGGAATCGCATCTGTAAAGACGCCAAGCGTTCACTACAGCTAAGTCCATAAAATGGAGTATTACTTTTAAAGTCCACTTACGGGTCTTCATATATGTCCTATAGTACTCCATAGATTGGTCTAGGACATCAACTCCACCCATGAATGTATTATAAGACGTTACAATTTTTGGAGCATCAACATCGATGTAGCATTTCGCGCTCTTATCATATTGTTTTATGTTATTTATCGCCGTACCACCAGTACAGTTTGACGCTGTAAAAACTGCTTTATTGTCCTTCCATTTCACCAAAACTATGCCATTAGACACTCTTTGGTCAATGTCTCCCCTTCGCATCTTTTGGTCTTCTTTGAAGCTTATCTGTTGTCGATCTGGAATACGATTGACCATGATTGTCCCTGTCCCATGATATCCAAGTCGTTTCAGTTCGTCCAACAAAGGAATGGTAGTAAAGTATCTGTCAAAAAAGATACAGCTTCCAGGAGGAACACTCTGAATAAGGCGGAAAACTACAGCCGGTCCGAGTCCAAGGGGGTGCGAAAGTACAGGATTGTTCCCATAGTAAATTTCAAAATCTATCATTAACCCTTCACTAGTGGTAACAACAAAATTTTTAAGACCAACTGGGCGCGGTTTATTTTTCACTAGTTGCCTAAGGTAGCACTTCCCTGTGAAAGGGATCATTTGTTCGTCGACAGAAAACCTACCAGGTGTTCTTAAGATTTTATTACATCCTTGTTTTACAGCGTCTATTACTGGTTGCACCTTCCAGAGAGGATTAACCCTATAACTAGCAGGCGGAATATCTGATTCCACTACATGTAAATTATTACGCAGCAACATAAATCGGTCCCTGGTCATTGCAGACACTATTGCTTCAATGCAAATTTTTTGCCTCCAATACATAGCAATTCTAGGATAAGATAAAATTCCCATCATTAGATGAATACCATATAATTTTTTGATTTCTGGTTTAGTGCAGTTTAATATCCTGCCAGTTTTTCTCATATAGTACATATTTGTACAGACTGACATTTGTTCAAAAAAATCATCATTGTAATACTCACTAAAATATTCAATAGGCGACCGAACTATGTTCGGTTCTGGGTGGCCAACGTAATCGTGAAATGTATCGATAAACTCAGTTTTTTTCCAAATGCGTTTACGCCGAGGAAACTTTATTTTTACCTGTTTTCTTCGTTTTGTGGACGGACCTGCCACCGCATTATCTTGAAGGCTAGTAGCACTTCTTTTTACGCCTAGTTGTGAAGGTATGAGTTCAGGAATGCCAAGTTCTTTATCTGATGCAGTTACCTCATTTTCCGCCAGCGGTGGGACAAATTCTTCCACATCAGCATCATCTAATTCTAGATCCGAGCAGTTGCCATCCTCCAATAAACTTAGTACGAGATCGTCAGTTAATGGTAATCCTAAAATAAAACTAATAATTAAGAAAATTAAACAAAATCACCATCGTGCGTAAGTACAATTACAACCCAGAGCTCACGATCGTACTATCAGAAATTTACAATGCAATATATTTAAAATTAGTAGTATTTTAATCTTAATTTTACATATTTCTAAAAGTTTAATCTATTAAGTACATAATAAAACGATAATATGAAAGAAAAAACATAAAATAGTAAAAAAAATCAGTAAAACTTACCGCGTCTTGTTCGGGGGTCAAGGAGCCAAGCCATCTTGCCGGCACGCACGAGACTACTGCACCACCTAACCGCTAAAATGATTTCTTATTGGCTGGTTTAGAAACTCGCTATCATGTTATTTCGGTTTCGTGCGTAAAAATGAATTACGCGCGGTTTTAGAATTTTTTAAAGTTACAACTTACGCCCGTATAGCTCAGGTCTGAAAGGGATAAGGATATAAATAGGAATAAAAATGAGTCCAATAAACAAATAGGTGTACAGTGATGAAACTAATATAATTAGAGAGAGATTAGACCTTTTCTTGTATGATCCGATAGAAGGACGTTCTTGAATATGTAAATAATTATCCAAAAGCAGATGGTGATGATGAAACATAGAACACAACCAAATGCAAACAATTATATTCAAAAATAGATTATATTATTCGTATTATATTATATATTTTATATATAAAATTCTCGTGTCACAGTTTTCGTTCCCATACTCCTCCGAAACGGCTTGACCGATTCTCATGAAATATTGTGAGCGTATTGAGTAGGTCTGAGAATCGGCAAACATCTATTTTTCATCCCCTTAAATGTTAGGGGTAGTCCACCACTAATTTTTTTTTTATTTTAAGACAAAACAACGTTTGCCGTGACAGCTAGTTACTCACTAAACGATTACTTGAATGACGAGCGTGCATAGCAATAGTTTCATGTTCGGGATTTTCATTTAATGTTAGACATAGACACCTATATAAATATCTATACATTGTATTATAAATAAACTGGCTTTTAAAAAAAAAGTAATTCAATTGAGTTTCTTGCCAGTTCTTCTCAATTGGATCTATATACCGAACTGGAGGGTAGGGAAAAAAATTATAATGTAGAAACTTGACGTATATAAGCGGCTAAAATGTCTTACATGAATAAATGATTTTTGAATTTAGAAATGTTTGTGCGCGTCAGAATCGATTACGCAATCGTCGTAGGTAAGCTAAACTTAGGTTAGACAATGTCTCTCAGAGGACACGACATTATTTTCAAAGCAGTTGTCCCATCTGCATGGTGCATCATTCCGATTTTAAGCGCTATGAAGAAGCGGGGTGACCTCGAACCGTGTAAATAAACTTATGGAGTCATTGTGTAATTTAAACCACGCGAGTGTGTACAGGCCTTATGTGTTGGCACGTGTGCGCCTTGCCTTTCGTTTGTTTTATGCCTTTGTTTCTGTGTTGTTAAGGATTGCTTGGCTGTACCGTTTATATTTATTTTACTAGTTGACCCGAACTTTGTGACGGCGAAATTTCCCCATTTTTGCAATATTTTTAATTGCAGCTCTGCTTCTGCTTCTATTTGTCGTAGTGAGATGTTATATAGGTTATACCTTTCCTAGATAATACAGTACGAATTAGCGATGATGGTTTTTAGGGGGAACAGCGTGGAGGTCGATCTAATACGGTATATTGCTGGCAATGGGTGACACCATTATTTTTTTATACTACTATAGTGACAAAGAAGGATATAAATACGGGCCATCTTAAGGTTAACGGTTACCATAGCCCATGTACAGTTGAAACAACAGTGTCACGTGCTCGTTGCTCTTAAGAAACCATAATATACCCTTCTTAAAAACCCCATACTGTAGTCTGTCGAAAGAACTTTGACCTGGTCATTTCACAATCTAAGTATACGCAAGAGGAAACTTCTCTGAAACCGCATTGTCCAAGACCACTTTTAGAACTGAGCAGTCAAAATCATTGATAGTCAACATCTTTGTGATAGACTCCATCTGCGACGAGATATTCCATCTCCGTGCAATTTCTACCGCATGTACCACGGGGAGTGTTCTGAGGAATTGTCCGGATTAATACCAACTGCTGAGTTTCACCACCGTACCACCCGCCAGTAACTAAAACACCATCCTGATCATCTGGATGAATGGCGGTCCTCCACAGTGCGGTTTTCTAGAAACTTTTTGCCTCGCACAACCACATTGTGGAATCTTCCAGCAATGGTATTTCCGAACCGATACGATATTGAAACCTTCAAGAAAAGAGCTTATTCCTTTTTAAAAGGCCGACAACGTACTTGCAATTCCCCTGGTGTTGCGGGTGCTCATGGGCGGCGGTAATCACTTACCATCAGGTGAGCCGCATGCTCGTTTGTCTCCTGCGTTATAAAAAAAAAATATAATTTATTAACCAACATCGAATAAACATAAATAGTTTTATTGGTGTAATAAAAACTACACCTCACATTTGCATTATAATGGCCCACGGCCGATTTCGGTATAATGTAACCATATTTTCATGGATTTTATGATATTTCCAGTCATTTATGGTGTTCTCATATTAGATATGGTGTTACGAAACTGTTATCTAATGGTATACGATTGCTATGTCACAATGACATGGCCTGCAGTTAGTCTATATATATATACAAATAAATAAAATTTGGAAAGTCTATCTGTAAATACAAAGTAACAGCTTTTTATGAAATTTCTTATGAAAGTATATACGGTACTTAGATTAAAAAGTATTTTCTTGTCTGTGTATCTGTTTGTTCTAGCTAATCTATGAAATGGTTGGACCAATTTTGATGGGACTTTCACTCGCGGATAGATAACGGTATAAGGAGTCATTAAATAAATATTTTTGATATTCATATCTGTGTGTTCCAGCTATACTCTGAAATGGCTGGACCAATTTTGATGGGACTTTCACTCGCAGATAGGTAATGGTATAAGGAGTAAATTAGATTACTTTTATTTTAGAAATTTCATTTTATTAACAATAAAGTTAAGGTATTTGATAGCGAAAATTATATTCGGTTTCTAATGTAAGTCAGCAACTAGTTGTTACCCGGGAATTCGTCCAAGTAGAATTTAACAATTTTTTATTAAAATAAACATAACTGTTATAATAAAAGTAACTTAAATTACTCCTTATAATAACAGCTATCTACGAGTGAAAGTCCGTCAAAATCGGGTCAGCCGTTTCAGAGATTAGCAAGAACAGACAGACAGATGGTAATTTTTTTTAATTCATAAATTTTGATGTAATTATTTTATATGTATAGTGTCATATGCATTTTGTGTAAATTATAGATATCTACGAGTCCCGTCAAAATCAATCAAATTCAAAGATTAGCAAGAACGTACAGACAGATGGTAATTTTTTTTTATATAATAAATTTTGATGTATATAAAATATAGTTTTATATGCTGTTAATTTGAAGTTCCAAACAGACACATTAATTTCATTTATTTGTATAGATAGTGTTGTAATCGAATCGAAAAGGTATCGGTAAATAAATAGCACATTATTTACCCACAAGGTGGAGTGGTAAACATAAAAATCATCGCGTCCAAGGTTCATTAATGTTTGAGTTTACGACTTGTAAAACACTCAATGCCCTTTGCAGGCCCATTATTGCTACGTGTGAAATAATTTCAAAATACTATGAGGAGTTATAATTTATTTGATTAAACTTATTACATATTTTATGATGGCCTCAATGATTTAGACGGTGTGCTAATCCATAGATAATAATAATATAATATAATAATCTCAGGACAATTCACACAGCGCCATCTAGACCTAAGTTAAGCTAGCTAGAGCTTGTGTTATGGGTACTAGATAACTGATACATATACATAGATATTTTTTTTTTTTTAAATACATACATATTATACATAGAAAACACCCAGACCGATACAAACAATCATACTCATGTATACAAATGTTTGTGCCGTGCGAGGAATCGAACCCGCGACCATCGGTCGTAAAGCAGTGTGCTTGACCGCTAAACCACCGAGGTCGTCAATAGATAGATAGATATATAGATAAGTTCTTTATTCAACAATTACAAACACGTAGCACACATGAGATACATTTTATAAATAGAAATAAAGTTTACAGATTAAATAATACAGAAATATATTATAATATTACAAAATAAAATAAAAATGGAGGTGGCTTTATGTGTCGCAATGATGAAGAGGCAACCAACTCATACATAGCACACCGCCTTATTTATAATGGTCGCGGGTTCGATTCACCGCATGGCACAAACAGTACAACTGTCACAGTACATAACACAAGCTCTGCTTAGCTTAGGACTAGATGGCGCTATGTGAATTGTCCTGAGATATTATTATTATTATTATAAAAAAAAAATATCAAAAAATGATTTGAATGGATTCCTATTACAACTAAACTTTTACATTAACTTTGGTTCTAGCAGTATAGTAAATAAATAAATAATATATGAAGAACCCTACTACAGTGTGTAGTAGGGCTATTCCTTCCTTCATTCATTCCTTCCTTCCTTGCCTTCCTTGAGTTTCATATGTATGTCTACAGTTATTCACTACTAGCTTTTGCCCGCGGCTTCGCTCACGTTAATTTATTCCCTTAGGGGTGGAATTTATCAGAATTCTTTCTCAGAGAATGCCTACGTCATAGTAGCTTTATGCATGCAAAGTCTCAGCCCGATTGGTTTAAAATTGACAAAGTTTCATACAAACTTTCACCCCCTATTTTATCCCCTTGGGGGTAGAATTAATCAAAATCCTTTCTTAGCGGATGCCTACGTCATAACATCTACCTGCATGCCAAATTTCAGTCCGATCCGTCCAGTGGTTTGGGCTGTGCGTTGATAGATCACTATGTCAGTCAGTCACCTTTAAGTTATATATTTAGAATATTAAACTGTTCAGAAAACATAGAAAATTAATGAAAACCTGTGTATATATTGCATGATATCGTTAAAGAATGAATAGAAGATTATTTCTGTATCGGTTTTTGAGTGGAGCAATACACAATATTTATTGTGCTATAAATTTCATGATCTTAAAATCCAAGCACTTTACGATTATGCAATTATTGTTTATTTACATACCTTTTAGAGAGAGCTCCGTAAACTAGTGGTTTAAGAACCCGAGTTATGGATCCCAAAGTTCGTAAGTTCGAGTCTGACTGACACCAAAAATATTGGGGCGAAATAGGTTTGTTAGTAATGTGGACTGATGACCATTTTGCTAGCTAT